TTGGCCCTGAGCTAACATTCATGCCCATCTTCCTCTACTTTATATGGGATGCCGCCACAGCATGGCTTGACAAGCGGTGCATCAGTGCACGCCAGGGACCTGAACCTGCGAACCCCGGGCTGCCGAAGCAAAGCGCGCACACTTAACCTCGTGCGCCACCAGGCCCGCCCCAGCATTTTCTTTGATAATAAAAAAATCATAAACAGTAATGAGTGTCCAAAAAGAAGGGAATGGAGAACCAAACTATAACACTAGATAGAATATTATACAATGATTACAAATGAGAATCAAGAAAAGTGGAAGCAATGTGGAAATAAAATAAAATTGCAATATGAGAAAAAAGCAGATAAATGGCACATAAATTATAATTGCATCTATCCCAACACACGCATATAGAAAATGAGCAAGGAGAATATGAAAAAATAAAGTTTTATCTGCTAAGGAAGTATAACTATAGATTTTTAGTTTATTTTACATTGTGCTTCTAATATTTATGCAAGAAGAAATCAAAATAATTAAGGGTCTAGAACAAGAAAGGCTCTCCAGATCAAGCCTTCCTAAACCACCTTCCTAAAATATAGTGAAATTCATGGTTAACCTTAATTCTAAACAAATTCCACTTTTCCACACACATGAATAACTGAATGATACAAAAGAAAGAAAAATAAACAGTTCTTACTCCAGGCCACACATGCACAATCTCTGTCCGCACCACCGTATCCACAGGATCTTGGTTCCCAAACCAGTACTGCCGGCTACGATAGACCACGCCGCAGTTAGGACACTCGATCACATACCTACAACGAAGGCAAATAGATACTTTTACCCGACCAGGTGCCTGGGGAGACAAACACACCAAACAACCCTTAGCTATGTGGTTTAAACTCACCCAGACCAGGCATATTTTGCGAGACCCATCCAGGGGGAGTCGGTGGAAGCAGATGTCTTGGGCACTACGCTGACTTCCTTGCCTCTCTCATAGCAGGCCTGAAACATGGAGCACTCTGCCAGCTTCTTCTCTGTACACCAGACCCCATGGCCTCTTCACATCCCTGTCCAGCCCCCCTCCCCGCAAACCATACCAGCTGAGGGTTTACAGACCCCGAGCTTAGCACATCAGAAGAAAGTTCATTTCTGTAAAGAAGCCAGTGCCCTGAATGAATGTGTACCCATCCTGGGCCCCAAAACTAAGCTGTAAATTATACCTGTCAGACAGGAGAAATCAATCAAAATTGGGCTCCTGAAGAGCACATCTTTTTTTGTTTTAATATCTTTTTTTTTTAATTTTTATTTATTTATTTATTTTTTCCCCCCAAAGCCCCAGTAGATAGTTGCATGTCATAGGGGCACATCCTTCTAGTTGCTGCACATCCTTCTAGTTGCTGTACGTGGGACGCGGCCTCAGCATGGCCGGAGAAGCGGCACGTCGGTACGCGCCCGGAATCCGAACCCGGGCCGCCAGCGGCAGAGCGCGCTCACCCAACCGCTAAGCCAGGGGGCCGGCCCAGCACTTCTCTTAAGAAGAATGAATCATCAATGTATATGACCCTTGCATACAAGCTCAACAGAATAAGGGGAAAACAAGCTTAAAAAGGTAAACCAAGGAGCCCTAGCAACAAAGACGTGAGTTCTTTCAGTTAGAGCTGGGGAGAAGTTTCAGATAATCAATTTGAATATCAAATGCTTTGAGATGCAGCAAAGAGTGGCCCTAAGCCAGTCTTTTTCCATAAGGAGCAGGTGACCAGCAAGCCAGCTGCTGAGCAGGCAGAAGCTCGGAGGACTCACCTTGCAGGTGTAAACTCGGTTGTCATACTGGTGGGAGTAACTGCAGCGGCTCTTGGCTTCATGAGGTACTCCTTCCTTCCCATGATTCATGCTGTTCTTACATCCAGCCCTGAGGGAAGCCCAAAAGCTGACAGTGAGGCAGTGAAAGGAGCCAATGCTACTTACACAAGAGTCTGACCCTGAGCCAGACACAGGGCTGAAACCAGACCTTGGTTATTAAGTGGGCCCTGAATACGGAGCACAGAGAGGGCAGTTTGTCTCAGAAACCCACATGCCTCTCTTATACTTGCAATCAACAGCACTACAAGGTAGAGCAACTATTACCCTTGCATGAGAAGCAAGGGAGAAAGGAGGAATCTTTTCTTGGAAAAACCACGTGGCCCCTCATTTGGAACGGAAGTGCCAGAAGACACCACCTTGACAAAAGATGAAACCTGAAGGGCTCTCAGGAAACTCAAAACTCCACACAGCATGAAATGGGAAGTTGAACCAGAACAGGCTGCCAAGATGCAAAACAAAACCCAACCCCCGAAATTTGGCAATGTATTAGGAGGAGACTTAAGCTGAACCAGAAAACCTTCCAAATGAACAGCAAGCTCTGCCATCTTGATAGCGCAAAAACAGAGATCAGGACTTCAGAATTTCACTATGATGGAAGGGAAAGTGAAACCCTGGTGAGGCTCAGTTAGAATGGAAAAGCGATGATCCAGCAGAGCCTAGGCCCCTCAGCCTGGGCTCAGGGGGCAAGCAAAAAGCAAGGTAAGTCACGCTGGCGACTAGCATCCCTCTTTCCTCTCCAAGATAATCCTTAGTTCTCCCTAGCCCAGACTGTATAATCCAAGAGCCAAGTCCTTTTTACAAATTCAGAGCCAAGGTGGCTCAGTGCCCAGCAGGTTGGCCTACAGGGTTCAATGCAAAAAGGCCATTCTTGGCAGAAAAGGCTCAGATCTCCTCTAGATGGGCAAATGTGGAGGACATGGACAGTGGTCATGATGTGAGCTAAGACAATTTAGTGGTGAAGCGGGTGGAGGGGTGAGGGAGTGTCTCCAGGACATGGAGACTACAATCTGACCCTGACACACTGCATTTAAATCCCCTGGGCTCCGTCAGACAAGTCACCAGACTGTGATTTAATAGCCATCAACAGCTCAAATTAATCCAGTGATCCTCAAAGTGTGGTCTCCAACCAACAACATCAGCATCACCTGGGAACTCATCAAAAATGCAAATTTTCAGGCCCTACATCAGACCTACTGAATCAGAACCCATAGGGGCAAGCCCCAACAATCTGTTTCAACATGTCCTTCAGGCTTTTCTGATGCATGCTAAAATCTGAGAATCACTGCTCTGATCCTCCTGTAACAAAGTGTGGTCCATGGACCAGCAGCACAGGCATCATGCAGGAGCTTGTTAGAAATGCAGAATCTCACTCAGACCTGCTGATTGAGAATCTGCATTTTAATAAAATCCCAAAGTAACGCATACATAAAGTTTGAGAAGCCCTGCCCTAACTCAATGTTCTCAACCCAGGCTACATATTAGAATCACCTGTAGAGCCTTTTAAAATACACCAATGCCGAGGCCCCACCACAGATCCATTAAATGAGAATCCTTGGAGGTGGGTCCCAGGCCTCGATAATTTTGAAAGCTCCCTGGATAATTCTAATGTGCTCTAGGCACTTGCCTTCATTCATAGTGAAAGGAATCAACTAGGACTGATAGCTACCACAGCACTCTGCACACACTGGGCTGTCAAATATTAGTTGAATAAATGGAATGACTAAGATTGAAAGCCCTGGTAGGAGCAATATAGAAAAACAGACAACCTGAAGTTTTCTGGGTAAAAACTGCCCAAACCAGAAGCCAGTCAATTTCACATCTAAACCAGGTTGGAATCTTCAGGGGATTCTTCATAACCATGTGTTCTGGAATCCCCTGCAACCTCAAAGTGTGGTTCCCCCAACCACCAGGATCACCTGAGAACTTGCTGGAAATACACCACCTCAGGCCCCACCCCATCCTTAAATCAGAATCTGTAATTTAACCAGACCCCAGGTGATCTGCATGCACACCGAAGTCTGAGAAGTACCATTCTAAGTCTCTTTTCCCAAGGTGGGCAGGCAGCTGGCCTCACTTACCCACAGCTGAGGCACAAGCAGGAGCAGGTGAAGTACTCATCTGGAAAAAAGGAGCTGTGCGCCATCTGGTCATCAGGGATGTCACCGCTGAAGCGGTCACTCAGTGCCTGCCAAGGAGGGAAGGAACACGTGAAGGTACTTGGCGGACAGCCCTGCGCTTTGGCCCTTCCACTACTTTCTAAGATCCCCTCACTGGGGGCGGATTTCTTACAGGCTCCACAGCCGGAAGAGAGACCCCAATGACTTCTGCTCCTTACCCTTGACCTTCTCGGCCCAACTTGCACCAATCGTGCAAGATTGAAAGAACCAGCCCATTTCCCAAGAGGTCAGAAGTAAGCAAAGTTACTATTCTCTCCGAATTACTTTGGAGGTTATAAACACCTCACACAGTCATTCATTCAAAGCCACCACAGATACTGACTAATGCCCATTTCATCTTTGTGCAGCTGGGACCACGAAACTGAGACTCAAGAAGGTGGCTCGTCTTTAAGTCAGGGAGAGGCAGAGTGAGAAGTGAGCCAGGAGTTTCCTGGGCTTCTATCCCAGTTCTAACCACAGGTGCTCATTTGCGGTTTACTAGCCGCAGAACTATATCAAGGTAGAAAAAATGTCATCAGCCAAAAAAACAAGGAAGAATTATTATAGTGTTTAGCAGCCTTTTATCAACTACCATGACCCAAAAAGACAGCAAATGGGCAAAATCAACGCCAAGAAGACAGAGTTATTTGCAGAAGCAAACTCAAAATTTTATGTTGAAAGGCAGCTTCCATTTCTAATCCTCTGTTTTCACTCATTACTTTATAGTGAAAGTATTCTTCAGGCTGATTCTTCCCCACCAGGCCTTTAGTCATATGCAGTGGAAAAGTTATATAAATTAAACAGGAATGGGCTTTCCAGGCTTTAAAAATCATTAAATGCACACAGTTCCAGGCTTCCAGCTCTCGATCCCCCATTCTGAGGCAGCCGGGCACTATTCAGGGGAAGAGAAGGGAAAGCAGCCGAAAACAAAAGGACGAGATGTACTTCCTTTAGTTAAAAGGCAAAGGAAATTTTAAGATGAGATTTGGAAAAAGGGCAGATTGGGTTTTAAACTAAACTTCTTAAGCTCTGAAGGGAACTTCACTTAATTAGAAATTCTTATTTGTTAAAGTTTCTTTTCCTTTTTTCAATGAAGTCTTAACACCAGGAAGTGCAAACTCAAGTGTTTACAAAGGCACCTGACATCAATGTTGTCAGGCAAAGAATGTGTCACACTGAGGGTGCATGACTCACCTAAGTGCATTCAAATTCAGCTTCTGCAAGGATAATGCACAGGCCCATAAAACACCATCTGCCCTCAATGGCCACCCAAGTGGCAATCCTTGACTTAAACCAAAAGAAAAAAGTTCTGACAAATAATAATACACATAAGTCCTGTGCTCTTGGGGCTAATTTTGTAAAGAGTAACTTAAGGAAAACACTGATTTTGAGAGAGAAAATATAAATAAATATACACAGGAATATTAATGAGAATAAATGAGAAGCAAGGCAAGTAGAATCACTCACTAGCCTACATCGTCCTCCTTTTTCCTACTTCGAAATGCGACCCATCTTTCCAGGATTTTTTTTGGTCTCAGTTCTTCTACGAAGCCTTTTCAACCACTCCAGACACACCACGCCCCGCCTTCTCCAAACACCTGTTGTACTCAACGCCTCAACTAGGTATTGAGTGATTAGGCGATGATGCAGAGTGATGGGCCTGTTTTATGTATTTACCTCCCAGACTAGATCATAAACACTGTGAAAGAAGTTTCCTGTCTTTGTATCCTCCTGTAACTCCTAGCAAAGGTCCTAACAGGTACTCAACTAGGACCTCTGGAATGAAGGGCCCCAGCACCAACCTCCCATGCACACACCAACCCCTGCCCTGCCTTGCCCTGCCTTGCCCTGCCCTCCTCACCTTGGCCTTGCCTCTGCGCCAGGATTCATCCCAGACCCACAGGCTCTCTCAAATTTAAGGCTAACCACTCCCTGATTGGCCAAATTACTGATTTCTCTAACAGGTGTGCATAACTCTCTGAGGCTAACTAGTGGAAAAAATAGCATTGTCTCCTAATGCATCGATTTACTGAAAGATTTGGGAAGTTATTTTTATGTAACAAACATGGATATAGTATGAAACTAAATGGAAAATTTGCATACATAAAGCATGAGACCCCCAAAGTCCTTTCAGCTTTAGTCGGCAGCTTTGCACTCCCTGTGCATCTATTTCCTTGTCTATAAAATGGGGATGCTAGTAGTACCCCTCAGTAGGGGTCTTCCTGGATTACACTGTGAAGGTCAAATGAAGTTACCCACGTGAGCACTTGGCATAGAATGAGAGCTCAGAAAACATTAGCTGACATTATTATCATTTTTATTGTTTTTTTATGCTGAGAATTTTCTTATTTTCTTCCTTAGATACTCTCACTATCTAATCCAGGTAACGCAGGAGATATAAGAACCTCTCTCCTTTCCATGATAGCTCACTGGTCTTCAAGGCTGCTCTTGTGGCCGAATTTGTGGGCGAATATCTAGCTGCAAAAAGATGCTTATGTATCTAACAAGGTGATAGAGAAAGCAAGAAAAAAAAGATAACTAATGCAGAAGCTACTGAAGAGGTAGAGGGAAAACCAAAGAAAAGTATTTTTAGCCCCATAGTTTTTTCTTTTAAACAGGTAACTGAAAGGACAGCCCAAGTACTAGTTATCCTTATGAAAAATAATACCAAATTTAGCATGAGTTCAACAGCTGGGTTGAATTCAGGGGGGACGCCACTCCCCAGTAAATATAAAATTGCAGCCCAATAATAGTGACAGCACAAGGCTCTTTCTGTTCCAAACCCAAGTGGCCTGGTTCACTTCTCTGAAAGTTCTTCAGAAAAATGGGGGCATTTCTAAGGATCTCAAGGCTTGGCAGGAAACACTCTGCAGCCTGATTCCCATGGTACATATGTCCCTAGAACCTCCATCACTGCCTGCCCTAAACAAATTAACTGTAGGCTTATGTTGGCCAAGGCAACAGTAAACTCTTCTGACATCAGAAAGAGAAGAATTCCCAGATTAACCAGCCTCGTCACCTCAGATGCTGGTCACCCATCCTCTCAAATGCTGGATAACACAATAAGCATCTCACTCCCCTCACAAGTCACTGAACAGCTGGCAGTCAGTAATGAATCAGACCTTGACAAGCTTCAGGAGGACTTACATGAACCAAGAGTATGGAATAGAACAGTAACTGTTAAAAAAAAAAACTGATGTCAATGTATTTCAGATAGAAGGGTAAAGAGAAATTGTCCTCCTTCCTCTGAAATTGATTATTCCTTTCCAGTGTAGACATTACCACCTAATCCATATACTTATCTTTCAAAAATGCCAAACCTCACATCTTTCCAGGGTTTCTTGGGCTCTCCTCCTCCTGAGGTCCCAAAGCTGTAAGAGAAAAGCAGGGAAGGACCTCTCCCATTTGAGGAGGCAAGTCTGGAAAAGGTTGCCTGGAGACCAGATGATCTTCAACTTTAGTTGCCCTGGCAACAGTATGGCTCTTTCTACTGAACCTGTAAGGTTAGCCCCAGTCATCAAGGGCTAGCAGTGAATTTTCTGATTCAAAATGGAGACACTTATGTAATTAATGATGCCACCCTCCAAAAAAATATAACTTTATAAATACTTAACAGATGGTTTCTGACATGACAGAATTGGAAAGACAGAGTTTCTACACTTAGAGATCAGTGGCTAAAGAAGGTATTATATAAAACCTATATGAATTCAACTTTAATTTTTAATTTTATTTTTTATTTATTTATTTTTTTTCCCCCCAAAGCCCCAGTAGATAGTTGCATGTCATAGCCGCACATCCTTCCAGCTGCTGTATGTGGGACGCGGCCTCAGCATGGCCGGAGAAGCGGTGCGTCGGTGCGCGCCCAGGATCCGAACCCGAGCCGCCAGCAGCGGAGCGCGCTCACTTAACCGCTAAGCCATGGGGCCGGGCCACGAATTCAACTTTAAAACGGTTCTCTCAATTATTCAGAACTGTAAGTGCAGACAACGATAGTTAATTCAATATTCAATTCCCTTATTCAATAGGGACCTGAGCAGCTCTTCTCTTTAAACAGATTATCTGCTCAGTGAGGGTACGCTCTGCTGGTAGGTATCTGGGCTGTTGCTACCGTGGAATCTGAGCAAAGGAGCGAGAGGTCAAGAAGTGGGAAATAACTCAGCTGGGAAAAAGGGACTGGGCCTGGACCACAATGTGGCTGAATGGCAAGAAGAGTGATCAAGTCAGTAGGATGAATCGGCAAATACATGGGCAAGATGCTAGAGCAGAAAGAGACTGCAGATCTCTCTCTCACACTCTCACACTCTACAAACTTTTCAATCTTTCTCATTAATCACATTTCCTGTTCAATAATGAACATGAAAAATAGCACCTGGGCTCCCTTTGAATCCAACAGTGCTACATCAATCAGGTGGAACCTCATAAATAAGATATAGCTTATAACTTTTTAAAAGTATACTAATAGCATTAAAAAGAATGAGCTCTGTATTATGTACTAATATAGAAAGATACCCAAGATACATAATTAAGTAAAAAAAGCATGCTGCAGAATATATGAATGGTATGATCCCATTTATGAAGGGAAAAAAGATATATATATACATGCGTGCATGTGTGTACATACATATATACATGCACTTATACAGCACTGAAAATTTCGAGAAGCATATACAAGAAACTAATAACAATGGTATCTACAGAATGAGAAGAAAATATGGGGAAGGAGAAAAGGATTTAACTTCTCTATGATCCCATTTATTTAGGGAGAAAAATTATATACATTATATATGTATACTTACATATGCACTTATGTAGCACTGAAAATTTCTAGAAGCATACACAATAAAGTATTAACAATGGTTATCATAGAGGGAGGGAGGGAGAAAGAGGAGAAAAAGGGACTTAACTTGTACCTTACACATTTCTGTACTATTTGAATTGTTTATCATGAACACATGTTGTTTTTATAATTTAAAAAATGACCTTAAATTAAAATAACCAAACACTCAAATACAACTTATGGGAATGCCCT